CGGTTAACGTTGCTTAAACGGATATATATATCAGTGCTCGAAATAAGCGTTGTCCGGTTGTCCGAGACAACCAGAATTTGTGCCGGACAACCTAACCAGTCTGAGACATTGTCCGTGGACAATCAAGAAAAAAGTTGACGAAAAAACGTACTTTATTTATGTTTTTCTCAGTGGTTCTCCAAGAGCACTTATAGCCTGGCGGCCGCCATTAATCTATGGTGTGGGAAAGCGATGCATACCAGCTGCTATTTCCAACACTGGTATATGTCAGGTTTTCTGATTTATGAGAGGTGAACTCGATTTGGAACCAGCAAACCAGCAAGTTTCACCCCTACATTTTGGTATTTTTATTCCATTATTATTTTGAATTTTTCGATGGCTTTGCCCATGCAAAACAAACAACATGCAGTGGGGATTCATGTAGATCCGAAAGTTAAAAAAAGAGAATTGTCGTAGTCAGAATGAAGGCTGTACATGTACTCAAAAGTGCTGCAAATACTATCTCCTGCAATCTACATTTCCAAAATTTTTCTGGGGAGGGACCCCATACCCCCCCCCCGCTTGTTCTTCACCCGCCTCCTTGGAATCGCAGACCCGCACTGAACAATTACATATCTTGGGAGCAGAGAACAATGAACAAAATGTCGCCTATTCACATGGCACCCAAAACAAAGATTGCAGAGAAGGTAGAGGAGCCGTAGGGTGTGGAGAGGGAGGCGGAGGAGCCAGTAAAATATTAAGTCAGCCACTATTTTGCGCAGTTTGCTGTTTTTGGCCACCCTTGTTTCAAAATCCTGGCTACACCACTGTTTTTTGGTGTTTTCTGACCATATTATGTGATTGAAAATAGGAGATTTGGGGATATTTTTTTGGGACAACCAGAAATTGTTGCGGACAACCCGATTTGATGCCTGGGTTGTCCGCCAGGACAACCACATTTTTTTTCTTATTTCGAGCACTGTATATAGATTGTTACATTTCATTTGACAGTTTAAAAATGCCATGATTGAATTATGCATGCAGATAGATACATATAATTTATAAAATGTATGCATCTGTTACCACTCCTTCCCACAGTTCTTACTATTACTAACAGTCCCTTTATATATTTAACAGTGCTACGTCCTTCGTTAAATTTAGCCGGTTAGCTTGGTTATTTATCTATAAGCAAGGCTCGACACTAGCGGTGGCCGGTGGCCCGGGGCCACCAAAAACTTAATGTTGGGCCACCAAAATTTCCAAAAAGTTAAAATTTGGTGGCCCGAGTGGGCCACTAAAATTTCAAAGTGTCTATTGATGATAAAATAATTGTTTCTTACGTGCCAATTCATTCAAAAAGAGAGCGAGCAATTCGCGGAGCGAGGGCACACTACGCACGTGCAGCATTCTACCACGGGTATACGCGGGCGCACGGTTTATCCGTCTACTGCGGCTGCAACAAGCCACGTTATTGTGTTAGACTGGTATCCGGCCTCACGCCTCTGCTAGACAATGTACACGCTCTGCACGAACAGTTCGGCGTGAACCAGTCTAGCCAGAGGTCAAATCTGAGCGGGCGCAGGCCATAGCATATTTTGCAAGCGCCAGCATCATGTGATACATTGTATCAAGCGAACCAACACATGCGGTTCTGGTGAAAATTTGATGCCGTGGAATGGATATTCAAATGTATGCCTCAATCGATCAATGTCAGTGTGTGGGGTTTGTTTAAAGACTTTTGCAAGTGCATCAGACGGCCCAATTTTCAAATAATATACAATACGAGATTGAAACGTTTTTCTTTGTTTTTTTTTCGGGCCACCAGATTTCATTTTCAGGCCACCAAAAATTGAAAATCAATGATTTTGGTGCCGATCGGGCCACTGAAAAAAAAAGTTAGTGTCGAGCCTTGCTATAAGGCCAAACAAAAAAATACCTTTGGTTCGAGTCACATGGA